AATCGAGTTTATTTGTTAAAAAACTAAAAAAATATATTATATTTCAGATAGAATCAAATTTAATGATTAAGATGTGAGTATTTATTGGGCTATAGAAAATGTTAATTTATTAGATGAAGTGTAAAGATAATATATACTAGAATATAAGAAAATGCTCTCATAAATTTCTTTATGTTATTGAACTTATTAATGAAATATATAAATATATATTTATATAACAATTTTAACTATCATGATGTTCATTCCAATGTGTTTTGAATAAAAAGGATTAGGTAATATCATAAAGGATTCTAAAATACATTATGAATGGGATTTTTGTTTTAGATCTGAAAAAGAAATTGAAACTCATAAAGTAATTCTAATTCATTCTAAACTTAAAAATAAAATTACTTTAATTCATAATGGAAATAGAATGTATTAAGATGTTTTGTAAATAATTATATTAATTTTAGAAAAGATAAATTCATATTTTAATGGATAATTGATGAATTCTATAATAAAGCAATGATTTATTTAGAAAATAAAATTTGGAAACTCTAAGTTAATAATGTTGAATTTTAAGAAGGGTATTCAAATCTTCAGGAAGAATTAATCTAACCTGTAGATAATTGAACACTCCTTTATTTTATTTATTAATGATAAAGATTATAATTTGAATTTGATTACATTTTAAGCTTTAAAAATTCTTTTATTTTGACCGCTTCAATTTGAAATTGAAATCTTTAGAGTTGAATATCATTATTAATATATATAGATATGTGATTAAAAATAAATAAAGTTATTATAAATTAAAAAAAAATGGGATCATCAAGTAGTTGCAAGTAAATGTAATAATGCTAAGAAAAAGAGATCCATGCTGGTTCAATTCTCAATTCTATTACTATAAATGCTATAGTTGAATCTTCTGAGTGTATTCCTTAAGAAGCTAGAACAATTTAGTTGTACAAATCTTAAAAGTCAATCTTAAATTCAAAAGAAACTGAATTTGATAAAAAAATATCACAACTTGGAAGGGCTGATCATATTTAATATTAAATGCCCTCTATTAAAGTTTTAGATTCAATGGGAAACAATTTGTTAAATCAATCAAGCTATGCACCACCAGAAATAAGATAATAATACTGTTCTCATTGTCATTAAGTAAATGAATCAATGTAGAATTATACATTAGAATGTTTAGATTTATTTCATTAACCCTGTTTAATTTCATATATTAAAAATTAAATTACGAATGGGAATTGTACTTTACTTTGTGTATGTCAAGAAAAGATTCATACTAAACATTTAAGATCATTAATAACTGATGAAAACTTAATTTCAAAGTTTTTCTCCAATCAACTTGGAACATTATAATAGAAACATTAAGATTTATTACATTTCTCAAAGAATGAAATTAACTAAAGAGAATGCTGTTTTCATTGCAAAAAATTGATAATAAGTTAGAAAATTTAACTCAAATGTAAACACAGTATTCATAAATATTGTCTTAAAGAATATTGTACTAAATAAATAGATTTAGATAAAACATATTTAATTTGTTTTTGTGGAGCTTAAGTTAGTACTTAATTGCTTAGATAATTTAAGGGCGATTCGTTTAAACTTATATTGTCAAAATTATTTAAAAATTAACTAGTGGAACTTTATAACACTAATAAATTTCTATAAAATAAATTTCATTTCAAATAGTTTATTAAAGCAGTAAACTATTCTGAAGAATAAAAATAATCATCATATTCAATGCATATATAATGATTTGTTTAATATTGTGATGTTAATTTTTAAATATCAAAATTTACTTAATTTATTCATAATTTGTATATAGACTATAAATTTATCCTATTTATTATAATTAAAAATTATTCTATAATTCCAAATGAATTTTTAGTTCAAAATTTTTTAAGTATTGTTTACTAAAAACTATATTTTAATAGAATTAATTGTGATAATGATAAATAAATCATTCTAAATCCTCAACTCCTTCATGCATTGTTTCCTCTCTAATTCTCTATATTTAATTAGTAAAAATTTTTTCAAATGTTTCTTATGGTAACATTTTATTTTTTTTTAGACAACTCATCATATTCATATTGCAAATAATACAAAGTATTTTTGTTTACAGTTAATTTTTTCCTAATTCTTTTAAACATTCAAAATGATATGTATGAAAACAAGTTGCTTAGAAATATTAAGATGTATTAACACAACAATAAGAACATTAACTAATTATATCTTTATAAATGGTATCTTTATTTTCTCCATTTTATGTTGAATATGTTTCTTAGCATATTGGACAATAATATTCATTTTAATTATCTTATTTATTTTTTATCCAAAAAAATCCACAAAATTAAAAACTATGACAAAATGTTAATTAGGTATCTTTATAAATTTATATCATCTCATCTAATTATTATTCAAATTTATTAGATTAAAAAAACTAATTAATCTTAATATTTTAATTATTCTTAATTTCAACTTGTTCATTATTTTAAACTATTATATTCTTCTAATCACAATTTAAACAGAAATAATTTGTACTTTTTATTTATGAAATCCAAAAAAAATTACAATTTTCTTATTTTTCACACTTTTAAATAATATAAATATTCTGATATTTACCATTTATACATTTCTAAGCTCTGCCTAATATTTTTGAATATATTATTTATTAAGTTTAATTAATTGTATTACTTTATTCAACTTAATTTATTTTTTTGTTTGATGGAATTTTTTGTATAGATTTGTTTGAAGGTATTTCAAGAATTTAATTGTCTGATTATATTTAAATTTTAGAATGACTATTGTTTTAATCTTATATAAAAGGAATTTCTTATTTTTATAAATTTACATTTTTTTCTAATTGATATTATTTAACATTAAGAGGAGATCGTTCTTCAAATTAATTTTTAATTTAATTTGGTGTACCTTTATTTCTGGAAAACGTTAACATCTCAATTGAATTATAAGTTGGTTGGTTGTTTTATATACTCGAGATACCATAATTGGAACTTTTTACAAATTATAAAGAGCAACTCATATCCTTTTATTCTTTTAACAGTGGATCCAATATTGGTAATTCTTATTTTTCTTTATTTATAATTAATGTTATCTAAAAAATTAATGCTATTATTTCTAGTGACAACATAAGATGAAGAAATTAATCTAAGATCATGTATGATAATTTTAGATGATTATTTTGTATCTACAATTTTGGATTATTAATTTATATTTCATTATTTTCTTAAGACTATTATTCAGATTAAACCTAATTAAATTCATTCAATGATGTTAATTACTACCTCAAATAGATTTCAAATAGGGCCCTAATAATTATTGTTAGAACGAGTAAAATTAAATTAATAGCAATATGCTTTTTGAGGTTAGGATTATATTAATATTCAATACATCTTTTTTTCAAGTAAGCAAAAACCATTTAATGTTAATAATTAAAAAAATATACATAATTTTTGATATTGATTTTTTTTATTTATATTATGTTATCTATTAACACTCATTATTATTTTTATTTGGAGCCACCTTAATTTTTATTGGCATTCTTGTTGAAATTCTTATTTTAATTGTCCTTATTTTATTATTATTGCTTTCCTTAATTTTATTATTGATTTTAAGCTGGTTTTTGACCTTATTATTAATTTTAGGCTGGTTTTTGACCTTATTATTGATTTCCTTTATTTTATTATTAGTTTTAATTTTATTATTTTTATTATTATTGATTCTAATTTTATTATTTTTATTATTATTAGTTCTAGTTTTATTATTATTTTTATTATTATTATTGTTATCCTTTTTATTAAGGTTTATTTTACTCTTACTAAGGTTTATTCTTTTGACCTTCATTGTTTTTCACAAACTTTTATTAGGCTATTATATAATATTAATTATATACGTTTTTATTCTTCAGATTCATCTTCATCTTCATCATCTAAATCTTCATCATCCAAATCATTTTCATCAAAATCATCAAGACCTTCATCATCATCTTCATCATCATCCCATTCTTCATCAGCCTTTTTGGGTTGTTATTATTATACTTGTTTTTACTATTATTATCCTTATTAAGGTTTTGATTATGGTTAATCTTATTTTTCTTTTGTTTATTTTTAAGTTTATTATTATTATGGTTATTATTTAGATTATTCTTTTTTCTTTGCTTATTGAACAGGCTCTGGTGATTCTTCACTAACTTCCTCCTCTTGGTCTAAACTTTCTTAATCTTCATCAGATAATCCATCCTTAGAATAAATTAAATTAATACTTCATTATCTAATTCAGGTTCAATATATCCAGAAATATGAATGGTACCTTTTCCTTTAACTCCAAATTCTACTTATTGATCAGCTCTAAAATACAAGTCTAAAGATGCTTATTCCAACTATATATATGAATAATTAAATACCTTATTTTTCTCTAGATTGGCAAGGATAAATTCTTTTCCTTATACTTTTGCATAAACTTAAATTTTATTTTCTCCTTCTGAAATAGCAACATTAGAAACATGGATAACATCTGCTTCTTATGCTGTTAGTTTATGTGTCTTTCCTTGTGATATTTGAGTTCCCCAAAACATTTTAAATAATTTAATTTAAAATTTAGATATTTTTAAAAGAAAGAATTCAAGAAAAATATTAACAAACCTTTTTAATATTAGAAGGTTTATGATTTAAAAATAAGAAAAGATTAATATAATAATATGATTATATTTAAAATAAATTGAGAATAATAGTTTATGAATATAGTAATGATATGCAACTTTATGAAGTAATTTATTACAATAATATGTGTATTTAATAAAGCAGATTATAAATATTTTAGATATAAAATGTTTATAATTACAAAAATATAAATAAATAGTAATAGAATGATTAATTTAAAAAGTATAGTATTTGATCATATTATAATGAGTTTAAATTTTAGATTGCATATTGTATTTTTTATTTAAAATAATAATAAACAAAAATTCTGAAATCAAGTGTTAGGATATGAGTGATTTTGAAACATTAGAAAATGATTTAGGGAATAAATACTGCAATTTCCAAGAAATTGGTTTTGGTTCTTTCGCTACAGTGTTTCATGCAGAATGTCTAACTACAAAAAAAAATGTTGCAATTAAAGTATTTATTTATTATTAAAATAGATGATTAGTAAATAAGGATTATAAGTTCAAATTTTACACTATTTAAATTAAGAAATAGAAATTTTGAAAAGATGTAATCATGAAAACATTATTAAATTTTATGAAAAATATGAAACAATGAATACTGTTTATATTGTGTTAGAAGAATGTAAGAAGGATCTAGGTGTTTTATTTGAAGAATATTTTGATTGTGAAATGCCAGAGAAATATGTGATATTTATAATTCTATAATTGATCGAAGGTTTTAAATAACTACACTAATAATTCATAATTCATAGAGATATAAAACTTGAAAATATTATGGTATAAATGACAGATTATTAATTGGAATAATTGAAACAAAGATAATTTGATGTTCTGTTTTCAGCAAAATTTAAGATAGCTGATATGGGATTATCTAAATAACTAGCAAGTTAAACAGATCTAGCATAAACTTATGCAGGATCACCAATGACTATGGGTATTATATTATTTAAATATAGCACCTGAAATACTTGAAAATAAATCATATGGAAGATAAGCAGATATTTTCTCTTTAGGAGTCATCATGTTTTAAATGTTATTTGGGAGATTTCCTTTTAAAAATGAGAAGGATCACATAAGTGAAATAAAAAAGCAAACTATTTCCTTTTAAGATTCATAAATTTAGATTTCAAATTCTATGAAAACTATCATTTAATCTATGTTAAAGTATGATCCTAATTAAAGAATATAACTTAATGAATTAAAATAAGAATTAACTAATTTATTAAAAGAAAATAAAATTATATTTGAATTTGATGATGATTAAGATTAAGATTAAGAAAATTAATCAGAATAGGATATTGAAGAAGGAACTGAAAAATATGAAGTAGAATAATAATAAGAAAATGATGAATAATTCGAAATATTAACTATAGATAAAAATGATGATGATAAAATTATTGAAGAATTATACAATCAAAGAAAATAATATTTATTGTTGGCTAAAGCACATTAATAAATTTATGAATAGGATATTGTTGATCAATTTTATAATTATGATTAATATTAAGAGTGTGCTTAATAATTGTATTTTCATTTAAAATCTTAATTGAATGAAGAATAATACCATCATGTATAGGCATGTTAATATTTAAAAGAATTAATTTCAAATGAAGATTATCATTTATTTAATACACAAGAAATTGTTTAAGATTATAAATAAGAATCAATCTTAGGATTTATAAAGTAGTCAATATTTGGAACTCCATAAAAATAATCATTAGAAAGTTAGTTAAATGGAATAAGATAATTAAATTTACAATTAATAGAGAATTTGAGAAATGAAATTAAAAATGATAAATAATAATACTTATTAATTACTTTAGTTCAATTAGAAATGTTTTTTAAAAAACAAACCTAGGAATATGAAAAATTAGACTATAATTTATTTAATTTAGATTAAGAAACATTAGATTAAGATCCTAAATAATTGTAAAATATCTTGGATTAAATATTCACTAATATCCTAACTTGATATTTGATATGTATTTTATTGAAAAACAATACTAATTTTTATTTTAAAATGACTGAAGAAAATAAAAAGCATCACCTTCAAAAGTTTAAGACATTCTTTACAGAAGCTCCATCAAAAACCTTCTAAAGAGCTAAAACTTAAAGCCAAGCCTTTGCTTTTCGTATTACTTAGCCTCTAACCTCAGTCGCAAAACTGAAACGATTTTTTCCTTAATCTTATGCAATTCTAAAAGAAAAAACTAATTAGAAAAAGGATGGATTTAAGAATAAATTACAAAACTAAATTGATGATAATATCCCTAATTATTCTAAAGTTTCATCTATTGGAAAATTTAAAGTTCTGCCCAAAAAAGAATCTGGATAAATTGAGGTTAAAAATTCATTTAAAGATGATCATCTTAAAAGATGTATGACTCCTTAGAGTAGAATTGAAAATAATTGTAATTCTAGTTTAGCTATATCTTAATTAGAAGATTAATTAATTGATAGAAATGCCGCATCCTTTGCAAATATGACTCTTGAATTATCAATGAATACAAATGTATTATAATAAATAGCTCTACCCTCTAAAGAGACTAATTAATCCAATAGAGAACTAAACTTTGATGCAATATCAAATGCAATATTAGAGAAATCAGAATCATAAGAAAATATAATATTAGAATAAAATTAAAATGAAATGATAAAATTATAAGAATATAATGAAGAAAAAGATGGTTAAAATAAATGGGAATAAGTTAAAAATAAAGCTTAGGCTTATAATGCTGTTACAGAAACATTTAGAAATAAAAATAAATTTTTCAGATTTTTTTCGGATGCTCCACAAAAAATAGCATTGAAAACAAAAAAAACTCAATAAAGATTGGAAGAAAAATTATTAAATAAGCCTTCATTAATATTAGAAAATCAAAAATAAGATTCTTAAAATGAAGAAATACAATTAATAGAATCCAATAAGATTGAAAATGAATAGTAATATGACTAATAAAAGGAAATTAAAATAGAACAGAGTTTATAGCATGATGAAAATAAAACTGAGAATTTTCAATAACAAGAGTTAGTATTATAAAATGAGGAATCATAATAATTAAAGTAAAATATTAATGATGTTTAGAATAAAAATGAAAATAATATTTAAAATAAAAATGAAAATAATATTTAGAATAAATAAAAAATACATTAACAAAGTGTTGTTAATTTTATATCAAATAGTGGTACTTTAATGAAAAAAAAAACTATGGAAATGTTTTAGTAAATAGAAAACAAGATTAAATTATAGGAAGGATAAAAAGTTAATGTTAAAAAATAATAAAAAAATGATGTTGAAAATTATAACAATGATAGTGTTCAATTAAATCAAAATTTTTAAATAGAACAAACCAATAATAAATTAGTTAAAGAAGATATTCAACATTAAAAGCAAATTTCTGATCCAGATGAATATGAATATTAAGTTGAACCTTATTCAGAAGAAGAATTAAAAATTTCAAAAAAATCTTCAAATACGATAGGAAAACATAATTAATTTAATTATTAAGATGAAAATTCAAATTAAATCAATGATTCTTAAGTAAACAGTAGAGGAGAATTGTATTCTAATGATAAACTCCCTTAAGAAATTACACACATTGAAAAAAAATCATTTCATTAAGATAGTTTTGATGCCAGTCAAATGTTTGATATTATGCAATAAAAATCTTAAGAAACTTAAAGTTAAAATTAGAAAAGTAAAATTACTATATAAGATAATTAATCAAACTAATTAACTAGCAAATTATTTAAATAAGATGAATTAAGATAATAATATGAAGAAATTAATTTAGAGATTTAATAATTACAGTAAGAAAAATAATAATTGTTGCCAAAAAAAAAGTAAATATTATATGGTAGATTAGTATTTTAATTAAAAGTACATTCAAACCTAATTATAAGAAAATGGCAGAAATATCTGATGATAATGAAGCACTTTATAAAGCAAAAGATTTAATCAGAAAAATGAACCAAAAAAGAAAAGAAAAAGAAGAGAGAACCAAAAAGTAACATGTTAAAATTGAAGAATATTTCCATAATCTATAATATTTAAAAGAAAGTTAAGAGGTAAATTTCCATCTATTATATTTAGGAAATGAAAAATAGGTATGAATAACAAAGGAAATTATAAATTTAAAATAGAATAGAGGATTATTAAAAAAAATAAAAAGAATTTGCTCAACTTCAATAAATTAGTCATAATTTTGTTTAAAAATTAATATATGTAGGTCCATAATAGGGTTAACTTGCTAAAGAATTTGAAGATAATGTTATTTCTATAAAAGGAGGATATAGAAAATTTAAATTAAAGAATTTGGGTATTGAATTACCAAAAATTAATGAAAACAATAATAATGCTATGTTTAGAAGGTAAAAATTATTTTTTAATAATAGATATATGAATGAAGAATAAGTAAAGTCTAAATAAGATGAAATGATTAAGAAATATGAAGCAAGTAGATAAGCCCTTTTTAAATCAACGGATTGAATTTAGTTTGCATGTTTTATATATAATATTTTATATTGTTTAAATTGCAATAAATGAAAGTAAACAATATACTAATATTAAAAAATCGAGAAGATTTATATACTAGACGCCAATAAGCAATTTTTAACAAATTAGCAAAAGAGAAGAAGGCTATTGATGCCAAATAGACTAAAAGAGTCAATAAGATGCTTTAAATAAGCTTTATGGATATTGAAAATTTTACTAATGTTAGTCAATCCTACGAATTCAATAGACATAAAGATGCAAAAAGTTTAAATTCTAATAGAGATCATTCTATTTCAAAAAGTAGATATTCAAATCAAGTTTTTCTTAATAAACTTGATCTAACTCCTAGAATTGATAGTTGTAATTACTGGTATGATTTGTAATACATTTGAGGGCAAAAATTGTTTATAAGTAGAGTAAACACGATGCAGATAAAAATTTTAAGTATTTATGAATAAATCAATTTTATATTTGAGCTATTTTTTATTTCAAATTATTTAAATTAACAAAATAATGAGGCTCAATAATATTATGAAACTTGCATTGACTGTTTCTCTGCTAATCATTTTTATGCTAACAGCTTATTATTACTGGAATAATTCTGAAGATTGTAATTTATACACTAAATTAGATGTCTCTAATATTTTTCCACCCTAGGTTGATAATGATTTATCATTTTTTTCATAAAGTGTCTGCCAACGTGTCAAAAACACAGAGTTATTTTAGGGTTGGAAGAAAATAAATGAATAGGCTCTTTAATTGAACGAGAGATATTCTACAGAATTATTGAAAAAAGCCGCCTTTGTTATTGAATAACTAAAAAAGAACCAATAAATATATACTTAATCTTAAGGTTGATATATAAGTAATTAAATATAGGTGAGGGTTAATAATTTTAGTATTACTAAAAAAATCTAAAAGAGTGTGTAAATCGAACTAAAATTTCTAAATTGGAGTTGGAAGAGATAAAAAATAAAACCAATCAAATTTTGGAATAGGAAAACTCTGAAATTAAAAAAATAAATGAAAACATATCTGTACACTAAAATGGAGTAATAAAAATATTTATCATTAGTTAAAAGATTTGAATAATTTACATAGTGAGAAGAGAATTCAATTGAATATTGTAATAGAAACCTTGAAAGGCTTGATAGATTAAAAAGAAAGGCTTCGTAGAAGTTATAAGAATGAAAAAGAATTAAAGGATTATTAAAAAGAATTAGAACATGATATTAATAAAATCAGTGATATAATGTCATAATAAGAACTTAATATCACAATTTTCAAATCAAGGATTGAAGAGTAGGAAAGCAAAGTTTAAAAAATTACTAAACGATTTGAGGTTGTGAATAATCAACTTCAAGATCTTAAATCTGTAAAAATTGTTACTAATTTTTCAGTTAGAATAATATTTTCGTTAAGATGATCTCTACATAAAAGAAGATGTACCTATTGTCTAAGTCTTTTCTGAATACTCTAATACATTAAAGGACAGAGCAGAAAACTTGAAAATCTTAGCTTAAAAAGAAAAAGATCCAATTTAAAGACAAAAAAATCTTGAAGCTTTAACTGAGATATAGAAGGCATTATAGATTTCATCCTAAATGTATAATAGTTTGCTTGAGATTAAACTTGAATGTAATTAAGATGATTGCACCATTGGAACAACATTAGAAAATCTAAAATTATCTGATTTAAAAGAAGAAATCTAAAAAAAATAAAGTAATTCTATATCTAATTATAGCCTATTATAATCAAATCTACACAGAAAAATAATCTATGGAATTTAGTTTGTAGCAATTAATGTAACAATTAGATAATGAAAATTCAGCTTACATGATCAATAAATAAAAATTAAATAAACTTATTGAAAACTAAAATTTACTTAATAAAACTAAAAATCAATCAGAAGAACTATCAAAATTAACTATAAAAATAAATTAATTGGAATAAGAAAAAAATTAACTTTAAGAAGAAGTTGAAAAATTACTCAATTAAGCAAATGATTAATAACATTAGATAGATGCAGAATTTGAAAAAGTCAATGATAAAAAGAAAAGAGTAGAAACTTTATAAGTTGATAGAAATTTATCAATTAATGAAAAACATTAGGAACTTTATAAATAAGTTAAAGAATGTATTAAGTAAAAAAAAATATATGATAATTTTGTTCAAAAATAATCCAATTTGATAGAGAAAGCTAATGAAATCAAAGCAGTTGTTCAAACTGAAGTTAGATAAATAGAATCGATGCTGAATGAATACAAAATTACTTATTAAGATTTGAACCTTCAATCAAATAATGATTATGAAAAGAAACAAGATTTATGATTATGATATTTTTAAATTATACTTAATAAGGTTTGATAGTCATTTGATGTATATAATTACTTCAAATCAAGAGAAGACTTTAATTAATTAAATTAGTAATACTAAAAAAATGAATTAAATCATCCATGCTAGTTTGTAAAGAAACGAATTCTATAATAAAAGGTATATCAATAAATAGACTAAAAAGTTACATTGAGAAATAGGTTTCTAATTAAACTTCGTCAACTGAGAAGTCATGTTAAATGGATACTGAGTTCGATTGTGAAATGAATAAAAAAGTTTAGTCAACTGTAAATATATAATTTAAATTTAGTGTGACTCAAGTGTTTAGGGCAACTCCTCACACGAAACAAACTTTATAAAATGTGAAAATACACCTTAAATACACTAAAAAATGGAATCTTTATGTATTGACGAAGAATCTTTCAATTTGGATGAAGTTCTTTTTAATGAATGTGATAACTTAAGTCATATCTCTGAAAATGCAAACATTTGTGAAAAATGGTAAGAAGAATCAATTCATAGTTTTATCTATGAATAGAAAGTAAATGAAGAAGAGGAGGAAAGAAAACTAAAAGAAAATAACTACTTTTACCTTTTAAAACAAATGGAAGAGACAGTGAAAATAGAGAGAATTCCAGAACATTTAAAAAATATAATAGAAAGTTTAAAATTTAAAGTTCTTTCTATTGGACCTTTAAAATTATAGTGTTAGGAAGGTCATCAATGGGAAGCAAAATTTGATGATCTAACTCATGACTATGAATGTAAATAATGCCATGATATGTAAAATAATTATTTATCAAAGTAAATAATCTCAATAAAAATCGAAGTTTAATTAATAGTCATAATATTAATAACCTAAAAAACATGGTAAATGTATACTAAATCCATAACATCCAGGATCTACTAGATGTAAAGAATGCAAATAGTTATTAAAACAATAGTTGAAAAAATAAAAATAAGAAAATATTAGATAAACGAATGATATGTAAGAATTCATTCTAAAATTAAAGGTATGAGAAACTTTAAAATGAATTATACATGAAAGCTGTCAGATTATTATCATAAGGTAATACCGCTGAAAAATAAAAAATTATTAGAGCTTTTAGAGAAACTGAAGTGGAAGTGGATAAAGCTGCAATGAATCATGCTAACCGCTATTGCGCTAAATAAGGAATCATTTCATCTGAATAGCTCTAATAAATTATGGTTGTTTATAAAATGCTACTGCTCCCTGAAGGAGCTTTGAAGAAATATGCTTAGAGTCAATAAAAGGCCATCTTGAAATAGGAATATAAAACTTATGCAAAATCGGTACATCCGGATAAGAATTCTCATCCTTAATGTTGTGTAGCATTTTAAAAACTGAAAAAGTTTTGGGTAGACATACCCAAGACGGGTATTAGTAGTGATATAAGTTCTTCTTAATAACAGTGAGCTACACAATTTAATCAGAGGTTTGAAGATATATAGGACATATATATAAAAATATTAAATAATTTATTATTTATTATTTATGGTAAAGTAATTATTCACAGAATAAGAGAAATAAGATCTATTGAAAAAGAAAGCAATAGAGATAAGAGAAGAGTTTTTTTAAACATATGTTCCAATTTAAAATGCAGAGGAGTCATAAAAGAAGAAATTAATGAAGAAAGTACCATGGAATGAACATATGACAGCTACATCAGATGATAAAATTTTAATCGATCCATCTTTAGGAAATGAGGAAGCATAAAGAGAAGTGTAAATTTATCAAATTACATTTGCAAATGTGTAGAGATCCATAGGATATTTAACTTAAGAAGGAGTAAAATAATATTATTAAATTATTTTAGATTCCTGTATAAAGGCCAGATGATTTTGAAGTTGAAATGTTTAAAAGTCCTAAATAAATGGATAAAATCAAGTTAAAAATTGAAAAAAAGAGGGATGATAAAAATAAAAAAGAAGAAGAAAAAATGAAAAAACATAGTAAAAAATTAAATAAACAAATGAGAATCAAAAAAATGAGAGAAGAACATAAAGAAAAAAGATCAAACAAGGTTGCTATAGAATAATGGAAAAAAGAGATAAAAGAAAAAGGTAGTGAAAAAGCAAGGGATTTAGATGAAATTATCAAAGAAAATAATTAAAAGCCAAAAAAATTTAGGAAGGATAAAAATTAATAATAAGATGGAGTTAAAAAAAATGGAATGTTTAAATAAAAGAATGGTAATTTTAAGAAGACAGGAAAAAAAGGAACATAAGAAAATTCATTCTAAAATGGGGGAAATAGAAATTTTGGATAAAGATCATAAAGCTCTGATGCTAATGGATTCAGAAATAATAAATTTGAAGGAAAGCCATAAAGAAGTAGAAGTTTCTCAGGTTAAGGAGGTCAAAGAGACAAAGGTGGTGATAGTAATAATTAAGAAAGAAAATCATTTGGAGGGAGAGGAAAGTCATTCGGAGGTGAAAATAAATCTGAAGGAAATTCCTTCAGAGGAAGAGGGCGAGGAGGCTAATTTGGTGGAAAGTCATTCGGAGGGAGAGGAAAATCATTTGGAAGTGAAAACAATTCTGAAGGAAATTCTTTTAGAGGAAGAGGGCGAGGAGGTTAATCTGGTGGAAAGTCATTCGGAGGGAGAGGAAAATCTTTTGGTAGTGATAATAATTCAGAAAGAAATTCTTTTAGAGGAAGAGGGCGAGGAGGCTAATTTGGTGGCAGAGGAAAATCATTTGGAAGTGATAATGCTCAAGGAAAATCTTTTGGAGGAAGAGGACGAGGAGGCTAATTCGGTGGATAATAAGGTGGAAGGCCATTTGGAGGGAGAGGAAAGTCATTTGGAAGTGAAAATAGATCTGAAGGAAAGTCTTTCGGAGGAAGAGGACGAGGAAGCAAATTTGGTGGACAACAAGGTGGTAGGTCATTTGGAGGAAAACCTTAAGGTGGTAAATCATTTGGAGGAAGATAATAAGGTGGTAAGCCAAATGGTGGCAAATCGTTTGGAGGAAAATTTAATAAAAAAGGAAATTAGTCATTCAAAAGTAATAATAAATCTTTCAGATCAAAAGGAAAAAAATGATAATGGTTTTTATTTAATAATAATTATTCATTTGTATTGTTAATAGGAAGATAAGCTCTCATTTCTACTGATATTTTAATATTCTAATGGTTGTAAACCTGATAGATCATTTTCATCAACTTTGACCTAAAATTCAGGAATGATTTCCTGAGCTTACTTTGATAAATAAGCACATAGAAATGAAAATGGTAACTTTGTAATAAACAAAAGGACTCCAGTTACTACAATTATTTTTTATATTCCCATATCAGGTGTGTCTATTTCAGACCAAAGAGGCTGTAATTTGCTTTTTATATAATCTTTAATATACCACAACGTATATCACAACCCATACAATATCTAATGTAAAAGAAACAAATGTTGCTACTGAAATTTGTTTTAACAATTTTGCATCCAAAGTCTGATTTTTAAAATTTATTGAATAAACTAGTATTATTAAAATCTAAATAAGATATGTGATTACATCTAAATAGCAACATCTATCAAGAGATGATAGTGTAATCAGCAAAGCCATTATAGCAACGAGATATTTATTTAGTGTTTTTTATTCAATATTCCCAATATTATCTATTTACTTCTCTGGACTAGATTAATAAATATTATGATTTGCATCTGAATTCGAAATTAAAGTATTTGGGAAAACTGCTTGAAGAGTTTACAAATCATTTTCAAAATCCATCAGATCACTCTTTAATTATTAAATTTATGTGTCTAATTCCGATATAAGATCACTAAAATATTTTGTCTGCTTTAAAAAGAAATATATACTTTTGAAAAGACCCATAAACCTGATAAAATTACTACCCCGGAATATGGTTTGACACATTATAATTTAGCTTCAACATTAGTTTAGGCTTAACTATTGAATTATTGAACTGCATATGTAGCTTATCCAATATCTATTGTTGTGTTTCCTTAATAAGCCTTAACATGGACATTAATGACTTCGGATCCATTTTCGATAGGACTATTCTAGTATAGTATTTTACAATTCATAAGAATCATTCCAGTCTAATTCATTTTGTGATGGTGTTTAAAAGCTTGTTGTCGAACTAGACATTAAAATAAACACTTTCATTGATAAACTTAATTTATTAACAACTGCATGCACATGATTAATCATAAGTATACTGTCTTCCATTATTCCATACTTATTTAATTACTCCTATTTTTTAATATTTAACAGCGCCTACGATGATTATTACTTTGTCATTGTTAAATTTTAAATTTCTATTCTTGCTTTATCGATCTTGTTGTTAAGTATAGTTTCAGCTTACAAATATACATTAATAAAATTATTGATTGTTAATTTTTGGTAATGTTGTATTACTTATTAATGTAATTATAAAGCAATCGAGTTATCAAAGGTGCCATGTGATTTCTCATCAAGGAATTGAAAGATAACATTCTCTGATATAGGCTGATCAAGGTCAATATTGATTTTACGAAATTCGTTAAGCAATATATGCTTTCTATCGAAATCCATTATTAATCGTTATTTAATAAAATATCAATTATATTTTTTCGATTATTTAAATTAAGAATCATAAGGATTTTACATTTTCCATTCAAAATATTGTGTTAAATTTAAAATCAATTCATTCAATTGATTAAATTAATTTTGTTTTTGATTCTCCTATTATTTTATAGTTTATATTTTTATATTTAATTTTTCTTATTTTTTATTTTCTTTTTGTTAAGTTACTTTTTTGTTCAATTCTACATTTTACTCTTAAAGTCTACATAATTCAAGCTATAATTTATCAAGAATTTCAGAAAGAATATTAATTAAATAATACTTTTGCTTATCTTAATACATAAACCTTTTATTTAATTACGTGACTTTTCTCCAAAATGAGATGATTTAGTCATCATTCTGTGTTTGTGTTTCAAATTGTATATTTTGAAAAAACTAATATAATTTTGATA